CCTAAACCCTAACCCTAACCCTAACCCTAACCCTAACCCTAACCCTAACCCTAACCCTAACCCTAACCCTAACCCTAACCCTAACCCTAACCCTTACTAGAGGTCATGATGAGATCAGAGGTCAGAGAGAGGGCATGCCTACTTCTTAGGGTCACAGATATTGAGGGGTCAACACTAAGTACTCAGTCATGAATAGGAAGAAGTCATGGAGAGGTCAGCCCCAAGTACTTGTGGTCATGGGGAAGCCAGCTCTCATCATTGGGTCAGGGGGAGGTCAGTGGTCATGGAGAGGTCTTCTCTATTGCTTGGGATGATGAAGAGGTCAGAGGACAACCATAAGAACTAAGGGTTATGAAGTGGTCAGGGTTCCTGAAGAGGAACCTACTTACTTGGGGTCATGAGATCAGAAGTCATGGAGAGGAACTCAGCTCTGGAGGTCATGAAGAGGTCACAGTTCATGGAGAGGTCAATACTAATTTTTGGAGTCATGAAGACGTCAGGAGTCATGGTGAATCAACCCTAAGTACTTGGTGTCATGGAGAAGTCATAGATAACAAAGGGATGAATATTATTGAATGGGAACATAAGGAGGTCAGAGGTCTTGAAGAGGTCAATTCTACATGTTTGGGTCACGATGAGGACGGAGGTTATAGAGAGGTCAACCCTACGTACTTGGGTCATGAAGTGGTCAATGAGATCATGTAGAGGTGAAGAATAGCAACCTGGTGTCATGAAGTGGTCAGAGTTCATGAAGAGATCACCCTAATTACTGTGAGTGGTGACCTGTGACCTTGACTTTTCCCTAACTATATCCCTAACCCAAAACCCTAACCGATACCCTAACCCTGTACTCTACAACCTAATCCTACCCCAACCCACCACCAAATCCTGTACCCCTACCTTTACCCACACCTACCCCATGCCTTCACCCATACCTCTTACAATACTCCCTGGGCTTTGTGATCTTGTGATAGTGCCTGTGATGTTTTTGTGAATCAGTGACAAAATAATTGTGTAACTAGATTTGCATCATGGACATGATTTTGCGTGTGTTTAAAGTCAAAGGATAACCATGACTGACCGTGACCTTTGACGCTCTACAATGAATGAATTCATAGATATTTTGATTATGTGTGACTAGGAATGAAACGTACTAATGCATGTGTCTGTGTGACTAGGGAGAAAATGGAAAAATTGTGTATTGGCATCTGTGTGTTTGTGGATGGAATGACGTGTCTCATTTGTGCATGTTTATCACAGAATAAGAAATGAAATGACAGATTGAGTTTGTGAGCTTATGATTGACACAGGAAGGAAACTGTTTTGGAAATGTGCATGTGAGGCTGGTTTAGAAATGAAGTATTCATGTGGGACAGAGCAGGTGTGGCATGAAGTGACTGGTTTCTGCACGTGTGACTAGTGAGGAGTACAGTAACCGACTGCTTCCATGGGACTGGATGGAGCAGGAAATGTAAGTATGTGCATGAGACAGGTAGGAATGAGAAGTTGATTATGTTTGCCCATGTATGTGTGTGACCAGGAAAAGAGTAATTTCACATATTAAAAATAAACATCTGAATGTTTGTGTATGTAAACTTGCGGAAGACTGAAGAAACTGGTCGTGATGTGTGTTTGTGACCAGGTGAGCAGTCCGGTCACTGGTGTGTAGGAAAACAGATGAGGAATGAAGTCGGGATTCTGTATCCTTGCGGCCAGTTAGGAATTAAGAAGCAGATTATTCCTTCTTTTTTAAGAATTATTCTGGGCCTCCCCAGTGGCACAGTGGGTTGAGCACAGCGCTGTGAAGCTGGCCTCATCCTCTGCAGCACTGACTCGGTTCCCAGCAAGTCAGGGAGATACCCACAAGGGGTGGCAGACCTCTCCTGTCTATCACGCTGCTCCCCTCAGCAGTGTTTTTGGTCCATCTGCCTGTTCTGCTCCTCGTTCTGTCTCTGATGAATCCTCTCACCCTCCCCCACCACTGGCCTGTACCTCAGCTTTTGTATAAATAAATAAATCTTTAAAAATAAATCAGTGGAAAAAAAGAATTATTCCTTTGTTGTAAGATTTTTATTTTACTTATTTTTGCATAGAACAACTGGGGTGTAGACCAGAGGTATGGAGGGGAAGAGAGGATTCACTAGAGACAGAGTGGCAAACAGTACAGGACGATCCATTGAAATACACTGCTAAAGGGAGCAGCCAGCGAGACAGGAGAGGTCTGTGGTGTCATGTAGGTTAGCTCCCTGGCAGGGGATTGAACTCAGGCCACTCTGTCTCAGGAGGTCCGCCTCAGAGGCAGTGCTGAGACTTAACCCCTAGGCCACCAAGGATGCCCTGCAGGTTACTGCTACGTGTCTCTCTGTAAGACTGGGCGAGAAATAGAAACTGATAGTGATGCATGTGTGTGAGAGAGACTGCATGAGAAAAGGAAGATATTGTGTATGTGTGACCAGGTGAGAAGACAACTAATTGATTATGTGTGTGTTTCTTTGCATGTGTCTGTATTGACTACGTGAGGAATGAAGTGATTGTAAATGTGGAGAGACCAGGTGTAGAGAGAAGTAACTATGAAACTATGCATGTGACAGAGAAAGTAGATTAGAAATGAAGACCTGTCTGTGAAGGTGTGTGCCTCGATGTGGAATGTATAGCTGATGTGTCTGCAAGATTAAATGAGGAAACATTAAGTGATCGTGGGCTTTGCTTGTGATCAAGGGTGGGAAAAATTAATGGATTGTGTGTTGTGCACCTAGGTGTTTTATGAATTGTGTGTGTGAAACTACATGAATAAGGAAGGAACTGTATTGTATATAAAATGAAGTGATCTATAAAATACTGACTGTGTGTTTGTGATTAGGTAAGAACTGATTTGATATGTACATGTGTGAGACAGGAAAGGACTGAAGTAAATTCTTTGTGTGTACACTTAAGAAACAAAGTTGAAATGTACAACTACACATGGTTGTACTAAGGAAGAATGAAGAATGTTTCTGTTGCACAGAACAATGGAACCAAATAGAAAGCCTGGAAATAAAGCCACACTTATATGGACAACTGATCTTGGACAAAGGAGCAAAGGATATCAATGGAACATGGACAGTTTGTTCAATAAACGGTACTGGGAAAACTTGACCACCACATGCAAAAAAATGAAACTAGACCACTACCCTCTCACTGTGCACAAAAATCAACTCAAAATGGAAAAAAGAACAAGACATAAGACCTTAAATCATAAAATACATAGAAGAAAATATAGGTGAAACACTGCAAGACATATAGCTCATTAACATCCTTAAAGACTCATCACCCAAAGCAAAGAAAGTCAACGAAAAGATAAACACCTGGGATTACATCAAAATGAAAAGCTCCTGTACATCAAAAGAGATTTTAACTGAAACAGAGAGACACCCTACTGATTGGCAAAAAATTTTGCACTCCATACAACTGATAAGAGAGTGATCACAAACATATACAAAGAACTCACCTGACTCAACAAAAACAAATTAAACAATCCAGTCAAGAAATGGGCAGAAGACCACGCCAGGCCCCTTCTGGCCTGCAGTCCGAGCCCAGAGGGGGAGCGGGAACCCACCGCCGGGGCAGACCAGGCTTAGAGGGGAGTGTGTCCACACATCACCATTTTAGAACAGGGACCTTTCTTCAGTAAAGACTGCTTGAAACCGACAGATGGCTCCCGGAGGAGCTAGAGGGGAGCAGAGAAGTTCACCCAAGATGCCAGCCAGTCCCAGCAACACAGTGTCCCAATGCATACGGCAAATTAGAAAACAGACAGTAGGGAGTAAAAGAACCACACGCAACCTAGCAACTCCTCAGGAAAAAAGCAAACCACAAAAAGAAAACCACCCCCCAGATTGCAACGACAGTAACTTGGAAGAACTTCTGAGCCTTCCAGAAAGAGAACTTCAAATTGCCATGACTAAAAAAATGACAGAACTC